GCTGACATCTTCTCAACGAGCATAAGAACCCTCGACAGATCAATCATTGCGACCATGCTAATTCTGTAAAACACTTGTCGCATTATCGTAACATCATCAAAATGGCAATCACAGATAAAATCCACCCGATCTACAGCCTCTGGTTCCTCTGGGTCGACCCCATCCTGACTCTTGTCGGGATGTATGGCAACTTTATCGACCACGATCTCGCCATGCAGGCCTTCTTCATAAATTACCCACCAACCGACCACTTCCGCTGTTTCATCTACCAGATCGGCGGCATGGGCACGTCATATCTAATCATCCTCGTCGTACTCCTCCGCTACACGCACGACATCTTCATCTGGAAGACAGTGCAGCTAGCTATCTTGCCAGCTGACTTCACCATGCTCACGGCGATATACATCGGCATGCGCATCTCGGGGAATCTAGCGCTTGCGGATTGGCGCTGGGAAGATTGGTTTAGTATTGTAGTCACGGGTATCTGCACCGTTCTCAGAATCGCGTTTGTGCTGGGCGTTGGGGTCAAGGATGCGAGGGGGAGAGCCAAGAGGGCTTAGTTCAGCCAAGAAAAGGCACAGCCGGTAGGGCTGAGGGAGATGAGACTTTGGTGGCGGACGGGAATGAGAATGGCTAAATTCGTGTTCGTGGGTTGGGTGAGCAGGTGGAAGTTTGAGGCTCTGCTTGCGCCGCAGACTCACGATGACCTCAAGACGCCAGTTCCTGGATCGGAAGAGTTTTCCAGTGTCGTACAGGACCCCACTATTGACTGAATTTTTCCTCTCTACGGAGGTAGGTCTCAAAAGTCTTTGCTCAAGATAACTGTGGCTAGAGGACCCACTTTTGATAAGATATCTTAGGTACATCTAGCGAAATGATAGTCACTAATTACAATAGAACTACAGCAAGGAGAGCCAGTAATTTATTTACACGGCTCCTCTAAATGCCCTATAATTATAGAGCTACTATAGGGCAGTCTCCCTATATCTCTCTTATCACTTGTACTTCCTTGTACCTGACAGGGATTAGCAATTGTGGCGTAAGTCATTTTAGGCAAAGACTTTTGAGACCGACCTCCGTACTGCCGTTTCATTCTTCCGCCGTGGAACAAGAAATCACTTCTGTTTTTCTGGTTTGATTACAAGTGGAGACTCGTTAATTCCTAAAGCGGTATAAATCCCAACTCTTTCGCTGCCCAAGCAGGAATTTCACGCGGATCCGCAAGGCCCATGACTCGATTTCTCTCCTGGCAATCGAGTGCAGTGCAAATGTGATCACCACTTTGAGTTCCTGTTAAACGTCTGCCTGATAATCCCTGCCATTGCAAAAATTGGGGTTTTGTTCTGTGGAGGAATTCGGCCCTTTACCCAGAATCGCGGGGGTCATAGCGCCCCCGTGATATCCTCGTTCTGCCCAAATCGCGTTGTCTACCACGCGAAGAAGCTATATCTAGGTCCGTATCTTTCCGTGGTGTTGGAGATGGTGGAGTTTTTGGAGTCATCTGCTTGGGGCAACGGGCCGACAGTCGAAACGAGCAGAGTCGGTGATCCAAGGTTCTTACCCTGGAGATGGAGACAGAGCGTGGTGAGTACATACCTACGTCTCCGCATGTACATACGTTCGCCATGGGGAAGTGTTAAGGTTGATTTGTGGGTTTGTGGTGCAATTGGACGGGGGACGTTGGGCGCGGTATTTTACAGTACGTGACTGCTGTTGATGATGCCGATTCTCCGGTAGCAAATCATAACATCTCGCGACAAGAGGTCTAGATCAAGAAATAAAAGTTTAATTGACATTAGTTGTGTTACATTGCGATGATTCGTAAGCGGTCAATTGGAGTCAAAACATGAGATCCGTTGGTTAGGCCTAGGGTAGCTTTCTCACGGTGAGGCATCGTCATGTTACTACTGATTGACAGCCAAGAGATGCGGCTGAATCATGGCGAGATCGCAAACGCTCTAGTGCTCGCTTCAGCGGCCGCTTTCATTCAATCAGTCTAGTCTACCACGAGATCCCATCTTGGCATGGGAATAGCAAAGCGTTCGACTTGGCATTGCCTTATGCTTTCTAGGTATCTGCATCTCCAACATCTCGTAACACTTTGGTAAAAAAGTCATGGTCATACCACGCTAGGAGTATTTATTCCAGCTTCTTCACGCCAACGTCGGTCCTCCATTACGAAATGGCTGGCTGGTGGAGAGAAACAGGGCGACCGTCAACCGCTGCCGTGACGTAAAAGGCTTGCCGTAGAACATTTCTAGAAAAGGAACATCATTCATCCGCGGTTAGTATCATGTCGATCCCTCCCGGGAGTTGCACCAGTCGACATGCCAATGTGACCGCCCACGCGACTCATTGGCCTAGGCACCGGACCGACACATTCAATGCGACCCTTGAAGGCTTCTCGGCAATGATGGATGGTTCGATGAGCCTGTAGGAGAAGAGGATCGTCCGAGTAAGCATCATGTCACTGGTGATAATCGCGCGGTGATCCCGCTCTAAAGTATCCCAATCCCACGTCGCCTGCGTTATCGATACAGGAGACGCGTTATGGGAACTCCGCCCCATAATAATCGATCGGCTCAGACGGCATCTTCTGATGGAGAACCAGCGGCGAATTCTTCGGTGCTACCGTCATGGGCACGCTCCGCATTAGCTGCTATTCCCCATAACTTTGTGCCGTTGCATTTTGCGGTGCCCCATGGCGAAACAGACTACTCACATAAAGTCTCTCCAGACTTGCGGGATTGTGGGTTGCATATAAAAACCTGGGGTTCGCCGCGATAAGCAATTCTTCCCACCAGCCTACCTACAGACAGGTGTCACTGACAACCTTTTCTCTCCCCTCTATATCCTATATACAATTTTTGCTTAGCTATTACATCATGGGCAAGAGTCGTCAGAACTCGACCACTACGGTCGACCGTGAGAAGGATGAGATCCAGAAAGCTATGGGCCACGAAAAAGCAGAGTTCGAAGCCCTTGAAGTAGCGCGTCATGGCGGTCGTGAGATCGACGAGCTCATTGACGATATGGAGCGCCAGCTCGATGAGTCTGGTGGTCTGAAGAAGGGCTTCTTCCAGGTCCAGTTCGCTAACCCCAAGCACTTCACCTGGCTCCTGGTAGCCTTCGCATCCATGGGTGGTCTCCTCTCCGGTCTTGACCAGTCTCTCATCAGCGGCGCGAATTTATTCCTGCCTGACGACCTTGGCCTCACTGAGCACGAGAACAGTCTTGTCAACTCTGGCATGCCGCTTGGCGCTGTTGGTGGCGCGCTGCTTTTGTCGCCTGCGAACGAGTACTTTGGTCGAAAGGGCGCTATCATCATCTCTATTATTCTTTACACTATTGGTGCTGCCTTGGAAGCTGGTTCAATCAACTTTGGTAAGTCCTGCCTCAGCCCCATAATAATCACCCTGCTGACTGTTCAGGTATGATTGTCGCATCACGTGTCATTCTCGGTCTTGGAGTCGGTCTTGAAGGCGGTACAGTCCCCGTCTACGTCGCTGAAACCGTCGAGCGCCGAATCCGTGGTAACCTCGTCTCTCTGTACCAATTCAACATCGCCCTCGGTGAAGTCCTTGGTTATGCGGTCGGTGCCATTTTTCTCAACGTCCCCGGCAACTGGCGCTACATTCTCGGTTCATCTCTCCTCTTCTCAACCATCATGTTTTTCGGCATGCTCTTCCTCCCCGAGTCTCCCCGTTTCCTCATCCACCAGAAGCGCCATCTTGATGCATACAAGGTCTGGAAGCGCATTCGCGGTATTGAGGACCGCGAGTCTCGTGAGGAGTTCTATGTTATGAGTGCCTCTGTCATTTCGGAGGAGAATGCTGTCGCTGAAGGTGCCAAGAACCATCGCTTCCCTTGGATGGACTTCTTCACTGAGCCCCGTGCTCGTCGCGCTCTTGTCTATGCCAACATCATGATTCTTCTTGGTCAGCTTACTGGTGTCAACGCTATCATGTACTACATGTCTGTTCTCATGAACCAGATTGGCTTTGACAAGAAGGAATCCAACTACATGTCCCTTGTCGGTGGTGGATCTCTTCTCCTCGGCACTATTCCCGCCATCTTCCTCATGGAGAGGTTCGGTCGACGCTTCTGGGCTATCACCATGTTGCCTGGATTCTTTATCGGACTGGTCTTGATTGGTGTCAGTTATCAGTTCGACGTCAAGACTCAGCTTCAGACTGTTGAGGGTCTTTATCTCTCCGGCCTCATCATTTACATGGGCTTCTTTGGTTCATACGCTTGTCTGACCTGGGTTGTTCCCTCCGAGGTCTACCCCACCTACCTTCGAAGTTACGGAATGACTACATCTGATGCTCTTCTCTTCCTCGCCTCTTTCGTCGTCACCTACAACTTCACTGCCATGCAGAATGCCATGGGCAGGACTGGTCTTGCTCTGGGTTTCTACGGTGGTATTGCGTTCATTGGTGAGATCTACCAGATCTTCTTCATGCCCGAGACCAAGAACAAGACTCTGGAAGAGATTGATGTTGTCTTCTCGCGACCTACCATGGATATTGTTAGGGAGAACTGGGCTGGTGTCAAGGAGACTACTCACCTCCTCCTCACTGGACACTGGCACAAGGTCTTTGTCGAGCAGGCCATGACTGATCCCAAGGATCAGGTCCAGGTCTCTCATGCTTAGATGCTATGACATTGGTGGTGAATAGGTCTGGTTATTTAACGTTGATGATACCAAGAGTAAATAGTTACTATTAATGACAAAACTCATTTCAAATATGCCGTTGTTCCATCTGAGTGAAACGCTTGAACCATGAGACGAACGACAATTCAATGTCATGTCATGCCATGCGATCGAATTGTCTAAAGTATTCTAAACTTATGCATGTATTATGAACTAAATTGAATAATAATATCTCTAAATTATGTTGACCTCTCTAAGTGTGGCTGTCCTTTGCAATAGAAATCATCATTTTTAGCCTGCGTGCATATCCCGACTCCGAACCCATTACCCCCAAATAATCACTTTAACTTTCCTCTCCATCATACCTATAGACGCCGCGATTCTGTAGTTGCGCCTGGAACAGACTCTGTGGTTCAACCCGCTTCCCCGTCTCGAGCAAGGTAGCATTGCCCTTTGGTTCGTTACCGTTTTCACCGCACCCAATGCACCAATTGATGCCAGTAGGCGGAGACTCAAACTCACAATATCCATCAATGTTCCACCCAACACCACCATTGATGGACCAACCTTGCCCCGAACCCTTGATATTGCGGTTCACGAAGTACGTGGCGACCGAGGTATCTTCTACCAGTAAACCCTGAGCCCATCTCTGGTGGGGGTATATAGTCTGAGAGTCAGACTGAGTCTTGTGACGAAGAACAGCATTCGGGCCAGGTGTCAGTGATCCCGTGGCGACGGAGAAGCATCGCGCGGACGAGATGCCAACCTGCTCGCAGTCTTGAACAAGAACTTGTGAACCTTGGATCATGATATCAAAAGGGAGAGCACTCCCCGAGATATCCTTATCTCGGTTCATGGTAGTATTCTGGATGGTGATGCGAGAGGCGTCCTGGTCAACCTGGAAGAACTTGTTGAAGCCCTTGAGAGTGAGACCACTAGCCCAGCTATCAACTGTCCAAGATGGGAAGCGAATCGCAGCAGAGTTGCACGTCTTATCACTGAGAGAGGACCCAGAGCAAGTGTCAGGTACCTCAATGGAGAGGTCCTGAATGCCCATCTCACTGTTGGTTTCAGGAGGGGTATAGACAATGAGCTCTGGTTGCAGATAGTCCAGCTCAATATTGTCTGTCAAGGGTATCTTGAGGGTGATATTGTTGCCATAGACACCGCTTATCTGATTTGGCGTCATGAATCTTTTATTCTCCTGCACGAGATTAGTACATACACAACTACAAGCGAGGAGGACTACATACCGGTATCCAGGTTTGGGACGCACCGTCTCGCACCAGGTTGCTCATGCCATTGGCCTCTATCCAAGACTCTGTGGCTATTCTAGAGACATAGACTAGTTGGTCCACCGCAAAACCACTGCTGTTAACGACCTCGACTGAGGACGAGCCGATGGGAACGTAATCATTGGTAATATTTGACCTGAACCCATACTTGGGCTTGGCAGTGTTGCTAGAACCCAGCGTGAAAACAGGTACAGACGGTTTCTCACTCAGCGACAGGACGGTCTTACCACCAGCAGACCCGGTAACGACAACATTGCTTGAGAGGTTCAGGCCTGCAGTCATAGACCATTTACCAGCAGGCAGGATGACAGAGCCACCACCCGAAGAAGCAATACTATCAATGGCAGCTTGTATCGCAGGCCTCACATCAACGCTATTATTAAAAGAAACAGTGATGTTGGGGGCGGCGATGTTGGGCAGTATGATAGCAGAGTTATGATACCCAGCAAAGCTAAAGTCAGGAATCACATCCCCACGAGAACTCATGACTGTCGTCCAATCAAACGCATGGTGCTTTTTCTTAGCCAGCGTGAAGTAAGTAGCACACGTAACGGTGACGGTGACGATGATGAAAATGGCAACGACGGAGATAATGGTCCAGCGAGAGAAACACTGTCGAGGAAGAGGCATTGAGAAAATTCCAAAAAGGGTAATAATTCAGGTGGTGGAGTAGCAGCGCTGCTACTTAAGTCGGAGCGAGGGGTTATATAAACTGTCAAAGGCATGGGGCAGCATTCGGCAAAGTGTGGCTGGAATGAAAGTGACATCTAGAACCCACTGATTAACTTTAACAACCAAGCATAATCGTCATCGCTGGTAGGTTGGTTTACCCGTGACAAAAGTCAATCATGGATTGCATCACTATCGATGATACGTGTTGATTACAAGATTAGTGTTCATGTGGCCTAAAAGTGTAAAAGAAATAAGATACATCTGCTATAACGGCGAAATTTATCTGGCGTAGATATCGATTGGGGTTTCAACTGAGTCGCCTTCGGAATTTAATTATCTCAGACACTACGGAGGTATAATCTTACGCTTATGTGAGGGGTCTCACTTGGTCCTGCGTTAGTGTCATGACTGGAATGCATGGCGCCCGGATATGGCGTCGGGAGGCGACCTTTGTACCGCGGGACGGGCTGTAGCGGTGATGTCACTCTGTCTTGATATGGAAAATGATTTGATAAAAAGGAGATTCCTGATTTATGGTGAGCCAACGGTTAGTGACAATCGCCGTTGTGTAATGGGAGAACGGGGATAGTGAGACACGCGGCAAACCGCAAACGTGGGATCTCGGCGAACTCAGTCCACGCGACCCCGAACACCACTTAGAATTGAGTTAAGTAAATCAACGGTTTTAGCAAGGTTGCCAAGGGAACTGGGTTTCTGTATTCAGAATATTGAAAGATGACCAAGCTTCTGCCGAGACTTACGTAGACACTGTATGGAGTCATGACGCATACTCAGAAGGCGAATAACGGTTGCATCAAGCACTATCATGACCGATTGAGTCTGGTAAATTCATGATGCCATTAAATGTGACCTCGATCCTAAATGACAAAAAGACTTAGGTAAATTCACATATATTTAAGATATCTTTACTAAGTTAGGTAAATTTATACCCATTTAGGATATCTTTAATAAATTAGGTAAACTTTTATATATTTAGGATATATTTATTTAATTAGGTAAATTTATATACACTTAGGATATCTTTATTAAGCTCCGGTATTTTCTTGCCCCTCGAGGACTAGCATTCTACATCTCCTCGCTCGTCCTTGAGGCGACAACGCTCTGGTTTGGCTATTGCCTCATCATCTAGCAAACTTTTCAACAACAAAGGCGCTTCTCCTTTTTCGGCCGCAGATAAATCATCAACTTCAACTTCAAACAGTTTCGCCTCTTCATCCGTTATCTCCACTTGAGGAGGAACGGGACCAGAAGATGCCGTGACTCCAGACACACCCCAGACCTGACTTCCCAGATTGGTGGCAACCTTGGTGAAGATGATGACACTCATGACTGGTGACACGCACTTGTTGATCAAGTATCCAATCGCAAGTTTGTGCCCTCGTTTTCGTAGCTCAGGTTCAAGGAGGATTGAACAGAGGAACCAGAGCGAGGGCAACTGACCAACAACCAACATAGGAACAAGCTTGATAGCAGAGACATGACGAACACAGCTTGCGATGAACAAGGCGGTATTGAGAATGCGGTAGTACACCAAGCTTAGACGGATGACTTCAACGGAGGCAGCAATGCGAGTGATGGTGATCATCTTCTCGCCAGCCAAATAGAAATAATTGTTGAAATAGGCATTGGAGCCCCATCGACGTCTTTGGCTTAGGTAGTGGAACAGTGACTGGGGCGCAACCGTCTCACTGACGGCATCAGGGACGAACAGGGTGCGGAGATGTTCGCCTTGAGACAGCATTGAGTAAGTGAGTCGCCTGTCAGTGCCCTAAGTTGGAGAAATTAAGTTAGCCTTGTGGGGAGACTACGGGAAGTGGGAGGCAAAGAATTTGGGGAGGGCTAGGGGAGGAATGAAAACTTAGAAAAGACTTAGGTAATATAGCCTAAGTTTAGGATGACTTTTGCCAAGTTTATTTTGACACCCTACAGCCCCAGGGAGGGCTAGGAGAATTTGGCCGGGGGGTCCACTCACAAGGTATTGCACTTGGTGGTTAATGACTAGTTCACCGGTAACAGGTTCGGCGTATTTCCGAATAGCACCGGCCATTTCTGGTCGGACTGCGATCATGGTGATGCAACCAGGCAGACAAGTGACTTTTCCGATGAACCCTTCGGCTCGCCGTCTGACATACTGTCCAAACGTGTACTGAAGGTATGTTAGACAGAGTTGCAGTTGAATAGATGAACTTTGATAAGGTTGAGGGGTCAAAAGAGGCTTCAGCCTTCAGGCCACAAAGGTAAAGAACACCAAGAAAACACATGCGGCAAAATACTCGTTGCCCTCACTGTTGCCTAGGATCTTGCTTTTGGCTGGAAGATAGATATCGAATAGGTGAACATACCTGAAACTGTTGATAGAGATTCCAAAAGGACCATTCATATCCAGGTTCAAGCTCAACCAGGACAAGCCCACAAGCAGCAATAGCCTTGTCATCACGAGCAAGAGCATTGGCCAGAAGAGCGACAGCGCCCTTGTAGATAGTAGAGTCGGCATCGGTACAGAAAACCATATCAAAGCCCTTGAAGTCCTCGCCCTTGGTCAACTCAGGGAGAATCTCGTCCCACATCTCCTTTCGTAGAAGCTTTGTGTACAGAGGAGAATTCTCACGAGGAAAGTTGAAGAGGTCGTGGCAGAGGATAAGGGAATCCTTCTTACCAGCGTTCTTGACCTTCTCGATGACAATGACAGGGACATCTTCCATGAATCCGGCGAGGACGTTCAAAACACCTTTCTTCCATTTGAGAGAGACATAGGGTCTTTGGAACTCGCGAACCATTCTCGTCATGTGTGATCGAACATCTCGAGGCTTGCCATCGAGGATGACAACCATGACTTGCTTGTGAGGCTCAACACCATTATCTCGAAGAGAGAAGATAGTCTTGACGATCTGCTCCTCACTCTCAGAGTAGGCAGGGATGAGAGACAAGATCCATTTTCGGCTGACAGGCTTTGGTGGGTAGAACTTGTCATGGATAGCACGATACATCATCCCGGTTGGTGACAGGATCGCAGATAGGAAATCCTTGCTCTTGACGAACAAGATGACGATGAAGATCAGCTTGCTCTTCTTGCCAAAGAAGGCAGTGATCGCCATGCAAATGTTGATAATGACGATGATTCCCATGAAGGCGACCCTTTGGTTGCGCAGATCCCTTTTCGATAGGACCCTCGCGGGATCGACAGGGTCGTCGATCTTGGGATAACCGCATGTCTCAATGCTGTCATTTGCGTGCACTGGTGCTGGTGCAACAAACTTGGATGAAACAATCTTTGGTGGGAGAGACGTAGCAGGGCTAGGGATTTCAGGGTCTGTCTCAAGAGGGCAGACACTCTCTTCACTCGTGGTAGAGAAGAAAGAGTCCTTTGATGGAGAGACTTTGAGCTTGAAGGAGTTTTCTGTGGGAGGGGAGAAGAAAGGGTCTTGTTGGATCTTGGGCTCTTCAGGTGGTGTAGGGGGTTGTTCTGAGATGACATTGAGAGTAAAGAACGGGGCATCTTTCTTGTGATGGTGGTGATCATGATCATCATCACCAACAACAGTCTCTGCTGTAGAAGAGAAGGAAGTGTTGTGCCATGATCTCATATGCCGCATAGGAGGACGGTCGGGAGCATGAAGGGTCTCATTGACAAACTGTTTATCAAAGTAAGCCTTCTTGGCCTCAAAGGAGTACATGGCGCTTCTCGGCCGTGTACTTAGAGAAGCCATGTTTGAGATAAGGAAAAAAAGGCGTAAAAAAGAGGACTGAACGAGAGAAAGGAGAAACTGGGGGAGGAATTCAAGACATGGCCTTCAAATCAACAGCTCACTCGAGGCAAAAGGATCATCCAAGCAGGGTCCCCCCATCATGACAACAGGGAACGGCCTTGGCAACATTGAAATCCTGCCTTCGCCCCTGTCGAATTCCAGTTCCCTGGGCCGTTTTCGACCACGTCGGCCGTCCCATGCATCCCACACGTTTGTCGTTGAAAGGATATGAGAGGGTAAGGGGAGGCAAAAAGAAAAAAGCAAGACCTCTATCATAAGGGACGGAATGATTTAGGAAAGTTTAGTATATCTTGGCGGGCAATTAGACTAGTTAATTTTGGCACCCTCTTCCGAAGTCTCAGGCTTTTCCTTCTGCCTATAATCCAGAAAGCAGATCAATACTGAAGGTAGCAACATCCAGGAACAATTCCATCAACGTCGAGATGAATCTGGTTTCGTTGATCATTGCTTCTTTCATCATGGGTGGTCGAACGGGTGGAGTGTGCTGTTTAGACTGACATTCCTCAGATATCCGGAAAGGGCGTTCTGTCCCGTGTGCCCCGTGTGCCACGCCGCAACGCCTCGCAGAATTTCAGAGACAGAGTGAAAGACATGGCGTTTTTGTTAGCTAGAGATGGCCTAGTTTAGTCCTGATTCGTGCCGTGGGGTATTTGATAGTGAACGGCTTTACCTACGTCAATGGCGGGATATGTTCAACCGATGAGTATCGGAGAAAATCTCGTTCAGGTAACTAAGCGAGTTTTCTGCAGTATTTCCAATCATGTACGATAGTCATGAAAAGTCTGCATCCATGCAATCGAGAGGCTCTTGAAGACCCCTTCCCGGGTGAAAGACCCTTTCTGTTCAAATATAATCTGACATGTATTGCTTGGCAGCATCCTCTCAAACTCTGAATCAACTCTAGAACACTTCGCGACCACATGGCATGAAGAACTGAACCCTCCATCGTACGACAGACCTGACGATCACATAGCCAAGACCTACCGAAAACAACTGCCATATCCCAGGAACAAAGGCGCCGATCCCCGTTTCTCACGCTCTGCACCTGCATCTGCAGCCTGCACGTTGAAAAAGTGCTGGGGCCTATGTGACAGGTCAAGTTTAGGCAGGTATGTGATAAGTGGCGTACCCCAATTGCGCCATATGGAGGGGAAAAACGATGGGAACGGT